CAAATGACTAAATTATTATTCAAAGGAAACACAAGTCCTGCTATTTGTTTAGAAAACAATAATTATCAGCACCTATTAAATGGTGACAATTTGAAATATGGAAATTTAATGTATACCATTTGTTTCATCGCGCATCCGAATTTCATGTATTATTGCTTTTGCGTCAATAAATTTACCGCCAGCTCCCTTTTCCTCCAGCAGTGAGTGCATCCATTTGTCAGGACCGTGCATCGTGAGAACTGATATAAAGCTAACATTCATAAAGTTTTTTTTTTTCTCTGAGCACAAGGGGGAGATGGATGGAGGGTTTTTAGTCTAAACGTTCCACAGGGAGCAGCGGTGGAGTGCTGCTGCTGCTCAGAGGGTGATTCTGCTGGAGGCAGTCTGACAAGCAAGCGCAACACACACACACTCGCACACACACACACACACACACACACACACACACACACACACACACACACACACTCGCACACACACACACACACACACTCGCACACACACACACACACACACGCACGCATCCATGCACTTTTAGAGGAAAAAAAATCCACTCATTTACTCTGTTTCTCTTCAACATAGACATTCGCAAATGCCAACCGACCTTCCCCTCCCCGTCAGCTTTCATGTTGAAAATCGATGGCTGCAGAAGCCAAGAAGGACAGGGCAGTTGTGGAAAAATAAAGAAATCAATGCAGACTTATTAACTGAGCAGAGCTTCCTTTACTATACTCACACGGAAAGGGGAAAAAAATAAAAATATGTGTGGGCACGTGTGTTGTGACTCGTAGGTGAATGATGACGGTGCTGCTGGTTTTAGACACAAACCTTGAGCTAATACGTGTGTGTGTGTGTGTGTGTGTCCCCAAGCCCTGGATGTAGGTAGCCAGCCTTTGTGCACAACTGCTACTTTGTAGGCGTGTCATGCATGCGCGAGAGCGTGTGCGCGGTTTTGCGCACCGAGACAATCCCTCAAAAGTCGGTGTGTTATTCTTGGGTTAGTGCCGCGCAGTCGGGTTAGTGGCTTGGTTCGGTCTATTTGTGGACAAAAGAATGCTCTAAGACAAATGATTTAGCACCTGTCAGTCAGAGAAGAAGGATGGAAGATGAGAAAAGGCAGAGGTCAGAGACTCGGGGAAGGGAAAATGATCTTTCAGAGAATTGTTGAAGGGGAAAAATAGAGCAGAAATGGAGCAAAGAGATGAAGGTAGGAGGGGGTGGAGGGGCGGCGATAAAAAGCTGGAGTGAAAAAGAATTTAGCAATTTAGCTGTGGGTCATCAGATAGCTGCATGCTTGGAAGAAATGTTCCGTGGGAAATGACAGCCTCTATTCCTGCAGAGTTGTTTGCCTAACAGCGGCTCGCGGGAGACCCGGCTGGCCTTCGGGCCCAGTGAGCAGACCTTCCCTCATCACAGGAGTTACCATAACAACAGATGAGGTCGACCTGTACGGGTGGCAGCTCAGGGATGTGAACTTTGTTTCAGCCTCCAGCCTCTTCAGCTGTCTGCAGCGCTTCCGACTCACCGACACCCACCTTTTCCTGGATAACAATCATCACGGAAAGACGCGGGAGCATGTTTTGTTGGGTTTTTTTGCTGGGGAATGTTTGGGCGAGAAGTGAGGCTGTGATTGCTCAGAGGAGAACGGTTTGTTTGGAGTGAGAAAATAAAACACCATGTCGAGAATAAGAGTGCCGAATGTAATCTTCAGAAATATCTGAAAAAACAAACCCTGGAGAGAAGTGTTTGCAGAAGCGTTTCGCCCGGGACTCAGGGCGGTGGAGGTACATTTTGACGGGCGCGCGCCTTGATTTGATTTCCTTTTGGCATTCGCTGACCGACGTCTGGCATCGCAGGCCCTTTGCAGCTGCTCGCGTTTGACAGCCTGATCTGTGTACACAACATTAAGCTTTAATCATCCAATTTGCACATTTTAAACTCACTGGCAACAGCGATTTATTGCTGGCCCGGTTCGTTCTCCAGTAAACAAAGCACCTACCTTCTATGAAACCGTCGCTGGCGCCTGGAGCGGCTTAGCTAACAAGCATCTGATTGTGCAGATTACCGCGTGTTCCGCGGAGGATTACTCAGCTTCAAATGAACAAATTGACCTTCCAGTAAAAATCTAAAAGTGGGTCGAGAACAGATACTCGACGCTTTATCTGAAACATCTGGACCCATTTCGCGCCGGAGAATGACTCTGGTTGTTTAAAGAAAGCCTCTGTTGTCGTTTGCGGATCCTGGTCACGCCGTCAGTCCTCCTCGCGTCCCATCAGGCTGTCATCACACTTTTTATCAGCAAAGCGATTGTCAATCAGGAGGCTTTTCTCTTTCCTCTAATGAAAGAGCGCAGAAGAGACGTTGCGTTTTCTCCAAATGGCAGGGTGTCATTTGCGTTTAAGTCGGGGGCCAGACATCTGTTACATATGCAACTTGCGACACTTTTTCCAATGTTTTTGTCGTATTACCGTTACAAATTGTGCCGTTCTGTTTTATACGTTGATGGTAAAAAGCCGTAAAGTGTTGCAGACATTTCTATCTGGCTTCCTGAAGTCAAAACTTTGAGATCTGCAACCAAGTTCAGCATTCAAACTCAAGCCAGCATCACGTCTTTGCTGAAGAAAGGCAGCCTGGACTTCAGCATGACGTTGCCGTCACCATGCCTCAACATGTGGACTGTTATTTTTCTGCTAAAAGAGTCGCTGCGTCTTCTGGTCTCATCTGATCAGAGAACCTTCTCCCTGTTATCTTTGTCTCCTAAATTATGTTGCAAAACAGACTTTTAATAATGACTTTCTTCTTGTCCCTTCTCAATAAAAGCGGTAGCAAGTGAACCCATCAAGAGGGTGTCACACCTGACAAAACAGGCTCTCTTTCTTCAGATGGGGAACCTTTTTTTCCCAAACTTTAGCTGATTGGATCAACGTGGGCGTGGGATACTGTTTTATAACCCAACCCCAATTCAAGCTTCTCCACAACATTCCACCTTATCTGAATGCTGATTCTGACCGTTCACTAATATTTCCTAACAAGAACCTTTGGTTCTCTCAATGTACTTCTTGGGGAACTTCTGAAAACCAAGATTTATTTAGCAGCATCAGGCTAACGGTGGGATAACACCGATGCACACAGAGTATAGATTTATGACCCAACATTCAGGCCAGGTTGGGCCAAAATGATTTGCTCGATGGTTCGGATAGGCTTGTGCTTCTGCGTTTAATAAGCTTACGCAATGCATAGAGCACAACAAATGCACATGCAGAAACGCCCTGCTCCGCTCCTATCAATCACACATCACAAATGATTTGCACTTGATTCACTCTGTGGTTACAACAAGCAACTACATAGAACATATCAAGCGTTATGGTGTACCATTCGGGGCTTTCAGGGCATTGCAGCCTCTCTTTCCTTCAAACCCAAGTCAAAACTCATTTAGACGATGCCGCACTGTCAGAAACAGCAACATTACAGACCGGCACCTTGCTCGCCAGTCAATTTTCATGTCCTCGGTCCCTAACAATGAAACACATGCTTTCTCTCTCCATGCTGGAGAAGAGGCATCACACTCCCCCTTTTGTTAATAAGTGAGCCACCAGTGACAGAAGAGCTTATGTGGGTCACATTGTATTAATCTGGCTGGCTATCCTCGCAAATGTGCTCCAAATCAAATGTGCCACATTAAAACCCAGTTCATTGCTGATTGGCTCAATAATGCCGTACGGCTGCACAGCCACCAAGACTAAGACTTCCGACTTGCTTTTTATGCTTAGGCATTACATTACCGCTCTGGATTAAAGCATTACAAATGGGACATGCTTACATCAATCTGGCGGAGCAGCTCCGGCACTAAATATTAATAAGTGGCCATTTATTTCAGGCGCAGGGCCTTTTTATCACTTGACTTAAACAAGGTCTGCAGATATCCCAGTAATTAATAAAGCAGGGTATCAAGTGATCTAGAGCTGGCCGTGAATTTGTGCACCACCTGGGCAACTCGGCTGCCTTAAACAAACCAGAAATTCTGCATGTACGACAAACTTAACAGGATTAGACGACGGCGCGTGGGCGCACATAAATCATTTATGATAATGCGAGAGTTTAGATCGGAGCGGGGAGACGTGTGCAGCTCAGCCGGAAGAAACTTCTTCCACCCTCCATCGGTGCAGCAGCAGCACCAGCAGCAGCACCGGCGCAGTGTGACATTTTCAACTCGTATTATATCTCCAGCAGCGCTGTACCTTCGTGCTATCTGCAGTCGAGGAACGATTGCATATGCTGCCAGGGCTGCGCGTTATTGCGGAGGGAGTGCATGAGGCCGTTTTGATGTGAGCAGTCAGACAGAACAATAAACTCCTTCCAGGCAGTTCAGGAATAAAAAAATAAAAACGGAAGGAAAGCAGTGCACGGATGAGTTGCTCAGTGATGAGTTCATATCAAAGGGATGTATCGCCGCGAGGTGTGCCACGCGTCCGACCCTGATGGTCATGATCAGATCATTAGAGCTGTTTACCTCGTGGGATTTGCTTCGAGGCGGTGAAGGTGGCTTCGGAGATTATGGAGCTCAGCTGCTCTCCATCCCTCGCGTCACGTCCGCACGCATGTGCTGAGAAGACGCAGACGGAGCTGCTGAAAGATTGGGTTTGTGTATGAGTTCAAATGAACAGAGAAAGGTCCTTGAGGCAACCTGCACATCTTTTATCACATCTTTAATTTATCGAAGCCTATAATAGAAGCCGCTGCAATCCCACTGAATAGACACAGCTGAATAGTAATCAGCCGGGGGGGATGAGGAGAGATGCTTAACTTCTCTTGCCTTTTTTTTTTTTAGCTTTTTCTAAATCCTCCTTTGCTATTTGACAATCATATCCTTATTCAATACATCTGCAGCCCTAGATATTGTCTGTTACGAGGGTATATTGCAGCATTGGAGCAAAAGGTTTGTTCTTATGCCACTGAGGTGGGAGTGTGATTGTTCCTTGCATTTTGTCTTCCCTACTTAGGATTTGTCTCTGAAGGGGCGTTGTGCCACTGCCATGACCCTCCTGTGGCTCTCCGGACTCACCCTGATCATCTCAGCCCTCATCCCTCTTCGGTCCCTGGGTTGCCCCTATGGATGTCGCTGCTACAGCCTTACAGTGGAGTGCGGCTCGCTGGGGATCAAGGAAATCCCACAGGGTGCTCCCTCCATCACGGAGGTCAGTTGGCCAGCCGGTTAAAGGTGCCTTCCCACTGCATCCTTTCACATCACCCTGAAGTGATCGTGGCCAACCAATTCATTGTGACCCTCTTTGACGCAAGCCTGAGGGAGGGACTGCACCGGCGGCTACGTAATTATTAATCCGTCCTCAGAAAGTGACTCTCGCACACCCACTGATCGTCTGTTAAGAAGATGTTTAACATTACACCGTCTTTTCCTACAGGGTTCAGGCCCTCCAACATTACCGCAGCTCATGAATATTGATGAAAAGCAAGTCTCGCATAAATTGTTCCATTAACCTCAATCAGCAGGTCTACCTCGTCGATCATAGCTCACCCCGACGCACGACGAAGTCGCATTAGCAATCAGGCGGGCGCCCGTGGATTGTGGATTAAAACTTGCAAAGCACTTCTCATGAAGACCAAATCAATCAAGTGTTTCTGCAGATCACTGCAATGCTTAACAAAAGAAACAACAAAAACGGGAGAAGTGCCATTACATCGGTTTATTGTACTGATCCTTGACTAACTTATTCCCTTTGGCATTTGTCAATATTCTTGTGAAACTCTGCAAAGCACAGGAAAATACAGTGCTTTGCAACTCCGCTCACTCTGCTAACCTTTGCATGTCTTGATCACTCGTTTTCTTTATCTCTGCCCTGCTTTGCAAAGACGATCTTCCTCCAGGACAACGCCATAGTACAGATTCGTCTTCAGGATCTGAATCGCCTGAGAAGCCTCCATTATCTGTACCTCCAGAACAACAGCATCTCGGCACTGGAACCTGGGGCCTTTCTCAACCAGGTGCAGCTGCTGGAGTTGGCTCTCAATGGAAACCTCATCCACCTGGTCACCCCTGACATGTTCCGGGGCCTGGAGCACCTCCGCATCCTCTACCTTGCCGGCAACCAGATCACTCGCATCCAAGACCACACCTTCAGGGGATTGCAGGTTTGGTCTGATTATTAGGAAAGATAAAGATGTTTGAGTTTAGATGTCAACAAATTAAACTCAGGATGACTTTTCCTGGATAAAGTAGACAAACATCTACAATAGATTGAGTCTGATATGTCTCGCTAAGCTTTATCTTACTCCTACTGCGGTAAAGATTGACTCAGCTGCAGGTTTTACTACCTGTCGGCATTTGACAACCTTTTTCCACGCCTGTCTTTCTGTTTGCTTTATGTCTTTCTTCTATGTGCAGCGCCTGCAGGAACTGCACCTGCAGGAGAACAGCATAGAGTTACTAGCCGAGCACGCTCTGTCCGGCTTATCGTCTCTAGCTCTGCTGGACCTCAGCAGGAATCATCTCCGCACTTTGGGAGCCTCATTCCTCAAACCCTTAGTCAGCCTGCAAGTCCTCCGTATCACAGGTTAAATCATACTGTCTTTTATGTTACTGTCATGTAGTCCCATAAAATCTAAACTCCCCTGAATCATTAAAATATATTTTATGTCAGAATATTAAAGAATTGCGACAGACTGGCGACCTGTCCAGGGTGACCCCGCCTCTCGCCTGGATCGTTAGCTGGAGATAGGCACCAGCACCTCCCTACCCCACTGGGGACAAGGGTGTCAGAAAATGGACGGATATTAAAGAATTAACACCACATTTAGCAAAGCACTGAGAGCTGCTCCTGATCTTTTTATATAAAGAAATACTACGGAGACTTATGTTAGAGAAAATGAAGAGCCCTTCAAATTTTTGCATATTAAAGAAATTCACCCAACCAAAGTCTTGCTTTTAAAAACAGTACTTCAAGACACCATTGTGAAGTGCATAATGGTGAAATATCCAATTAAGGGAAGGTTGGTGTAGAGGCCAATTAGGAAGCCAGTACATTCCAGCCAGCTGTGGGACTTCTTCCTCTCGCACCTTTTGCAAAGCCCGACCATTTCTGCAACTTTCTCAAACCAGCGCTGTGACATTCATTCATAATTGTAGCAGTAATTGGTCAGCTGTGTGGGACTTAGCTACTTCATTTAGGTCCTGACACATTTTATGTTTTCCAGCATGTGACAGTTGGGATTTTATTATACCTTAAAGTGTGGTTTTCAGTGCGACAGTTTTGATTTGCGACGTGACTGGTCGTCTTTTATTTGCAACCAAATGAACTCAGTTTTGATATTAGTCGAGTATTTTCAGGACTTATGGGCAATATTGAAATAGAAATGCTCAAAACTCTAATGTAATTCGAAACAATTGTGTGTTTTTAGTAGAAGTCAGATCACTATTTCCATTTTCTTGCGTTCTCATACCCGTATCGACCGTTTGACTCCTAAAATATGGCTGGTTATAAACTCCAATCAAATCAAAATGACTCAGCAACCTTGTGCTGGAAGATATTTTTACTGCAATAACACAACCCCATTGCTTGATCACTGACTTTTGCTAGAATACAGAAAAGTACTTTAAAATGACAAAGGGATGAAATGACATTAATCCTACATTGTGCTCTGCATCGTTTAAGTAGGGCATAAATTGCTAAAAAATAAAATAAAATACAAATTTTAGTCCAATGCATGATTTTTGACAGGAAAGGGAAGAGTTTGGCAGTTTCCTGTGGAAAGCCTAAAGCTGTGGCAGTTTTTGACCAGGCCATATGGCTCACCACTCAGGGTGTCCCATGGGGGCGGCACGAAATGGCTGCACTTCAGTAGCTCCCAGAATAACTTTTAGATTGCCAACTCACTTGTTCTGTGAATGAGGTGTGAGAGCGACACTGTGTTGCCGGCTGTTTAAGTCCTCCAATTATACAGTTGCTGTCAAATGTTTCCGATACCAGGAACAACAAAACTGGATTCGATCTCGTCTAGTTCAAAATCTAAGGTCTAATCTGGACTTTATTGTTTCACATTAAATAGGGATTTAAAAAAAAAAAAAACTTTCTGCAAACGATTAGAGTTTGGAAAAGGAGAATCTCTGCCGTTCATGCCGAAACCCCAGCTGTGCACAAGTTCTCTGTGACGTGCTTCAGACTGCGTATGTTCTTGTCTGAAGAAAAGCAAGTCTAACCTCTCATGCTTATGTCATCGTACCTTAAACATGTCATGATGCGTTAGGTTGCATCTCACGTGGGGGAATTTCTACATTTTTATATTTGCTCTTTGCATTGCTTAGAAATGGGGGGAAAAAAACAGTAAAAATTCATCTTACAGTTATTTACAGACAGGAATGTATTTTTCCAGTATTTTCAAGTGAGATACAGTAAACAAACATATATAAAATATATATGTGTTTTGAAAATACCCTCACATTACAGTTGATTTAATTCCCAATGATTTCTGTATAGAAGGAGTTAATATCTAACGGGGGTGTTACACTGCAATTGCAGATTGTTGCATAAACAGCCTAGTTAGCCTTCTGTTATACAGAATTTGTAGATTTGATGCAGTGTTTTAGTAACTAGGACCAAGTAAAGAGGTCTCAAAATGAATTTGTGTCAAAAAGATGGACCGTCTCCAAATATCCCTGGTGAAAGTGTCTCTGAGGGAAATCTAGCACCTCAGAATGAAAGAAATTTGCACTTTTGCCAAGTGCTTGTGTGCACTTGGTTTGCTTTGCTGTAAACTGTCAGGCAAAAATCCTACAGGCTCTCATTTTTGGATTAGGGAAATGGTATTTTGATCCAATGCAGCTTTCTTCAAGCCACACACCCCACAGAACAGGAGGGAAGAGCAGAGTCAAGTTCAGCATGCTCCCTAAAATGAAATAAATAAAAAAAAAGGTTGGATGTGTGTTTTAGCAAACTCAAAAAAACATTTTGCAAAATTATTTTGCTGACCTACTTCTAAGTAAAGCATTGAATTATGTCAAACTAAACACAGAGAATGAGCTGAAGATGAAAAAAAACCAAACAAATCAAAACACAAAAATGATCAAAACATAAATATAATTCTAAAAAATTAGACAACTATCACCATCTACAATAACCCTTTGAAGAATTTTAATTAGTATGAGTTACAACTACTTTTAATTTCCCTTTGGGATCAAAGTATGTTTGAATTTAACTGAATTAAAATGTAAAATATATTCATTTCTGTTGCATTTTGCTTTAAAAAAAATATTAAATTAAAATCAAAATAACCTCATAATGTTACAATTACCAGACATTATAATTGCCACCAGACAGTTATAATGATGTGGCTTGTTGAAACCATATAGATGTTAAAAATAGCAATAATTAGCTTGTGTCAACTACTTACCAGGTAATATGCTTCAATTAAGTAATCTAGTTCTGCCGTGTCATTAATTAATGTCAGCAACACAACCCACTGTCATTAACATTATGCAATAACGCAATGTTATTGCATAATGCAGAATCCTACGATTCCTTTGTTTTATGTGGTAGTCTGATTGGGCCAAATGGTAGCATGTGAAGAATGATGAGGCTCCTTCAAGTTTTCTCTCCTGTCCCGTTCTTTCAGAGAACCCGTGGCGATGCGATTGCGCTCTCGGGTGGCTAAGAACGTGGATTGGCGAAGACGGACAGCGTTTGCTAAGTTCGGCAGAGCAGCGTCGCTTGATGTGTGCAGAACCCCCTCGTCTTTCCCACCTTAGCCTGGCAGAGGTCGCTCCGAACAGTCTGGTGTGTATTCCGCCTGTGGTGCAGCTGGAGCCCAACCACCTGACTGTGCGACTCGGCGAGAGCCTCCGAGTGTCCTGCCAGGCCTCTGGATACCCACAGCCTCAGGTGACGTGGAAAAAAGCTTCCCATGGCAAGGCCCAGTTATCACCTCGAGGTCTTTTTCAAGAGCTGGGACCCAACGGGGAGTTGTTCCGGCCAGGGCCGGGCGGAGTGGTGACAGCCCTGCCTAGCACCGGGGGGCTGAAGGTGGGAGGCGCCGAAGGAATCCAGGGACTCGTGCGAGGGGCCGAGGAGGGCGGCGAAAGAGATAGCTTTGATCCGGACATGGGCAGTGGCATGCTGTTCCTCAGTAATGTGACTGTAGCACATGCCGGGCGCTATGAATGTGAGGCCTGGAACCCAGGTGGAGTGGCGAGGGTGACATTTCACCTGGCTGTCAACATGTCTTCTTCCTCGTACTCATCCCAGCTCTGGCCTCGTTTGAACACACACTCCTACATTTCGTCGTCGTCCAGCTCCTTCTATCAGCCAGAAGTTCTGGATGTTAGCCAAGAGCCCCTGTACGAGCAGGACAGCATGGACTTCAGCGCTCTGGGTCCAGCCACGCAGACCGCCATCGCCATTGGGATCTCCCTGCTGGCTCTCACTGCCGTTCTTCTCCTGATTATGATTTACACTCGTCACCAGCAGTATCAAAAAGAGGACAATGGTTCCTACTGCACCAGCAAAGAGGAGAGCATCCTTTACGTGAATGACTACTCTGACGGACCAACAACTTTTGCTCAGTTGGAGGAGTACCGCGATGATCACGGCCATGAGATGTATGTCCTCAACCGAACCAAGCCCGTCATGGGCTCCGCTTCATCCAGGTGTCCTATGATGAGCGGCTTTGTCCAGCAGAAGGGAATGAAAGAAGCTCTCCTGGAACACGAAATGGTCCAGACACTGACTAGATCGGGGGGACTGGGGTTTCGCAGAAACCCGACTGAAGGTGGTGAGGGCCCGCTAACGGCAGATCCAGAAGAACTGCTTCTCAGCCAGAGCCTTCTGTTTGGCTCGCAGGTTGCCTATGAGATCCACTGCTGAAACATCTTCAATGGGTGAAAGTAAACGTCAAAGGACTTATAGACATTACCAATCATCTTGTAAGAAATTAAAAGCATCAGATTATTATCTGGCCTTCGACAAAGAAGAGACACACAGATAGTGATTGCAGAGGGAGAACTGGATTGCTTCCAGCTTTCCAAATACCCGCTTCTAATTGATTGTGTGACAAAAAGATGTGTTCGAGGACTGGACAGAGCGAATTACAGAGAAAATAACAATTGACCAATGGTTTCAGTCTCCAAATAAACCCTTTAAGGATAATTACAAATGGCCAGAAGTCTATATTGCAGTTAAACTAAATCCCCCTCCCAAACTGTGCAGTGTATGGTTGTAACAATTGTCAGTGGTTGGTAATGAATATTTTCTATCAATGTTTTTCTTTGTTTTACTTTAGATGTTTCGTCTCCAGGTATGTTGAAGTTAATTTCGTGTGAAGTAGAGCTGTTTTGTGGACCCTGTCACAAATTTCATTAGAATTAGATCAACAGCAATATTTCCCAAGATGGAGAATCTGTAGCGGCTGTAAAATATTCCATGATTACACTGGCGGCAGAGGCAAGCTTATGTGGGAAACAAAAGTAAAAAGAAACAAACGTCTTGTAATGAAGCTTTTTATGACATTCGAGATGCATCATCTAATCATCCATTAGATGATGCACCTAATGGATGATGCATCATCAGTGTGTGGCCAGAGGGAATGCATAGGGTCCAACAAATATTGCAAAAGTCAGAGTTCTCAACGTTTGCATCACTTCACCGTCGGCTTTTATCCTTTGAGCATGTCTTGTGTTTTCTTTATTTATGCCATTAACCCCCAAAACAGGGGTATGATCTTGAATATTATTTGGAGGTCTAAAAACACAACAAAACCAAAGACAATATTTTATACAAAAAAAACAAAAAAACAACAAGGAATAAAAGCCTCTTAAAACAAAACAATTTATAGGAACCGTGGGTCAATTCGCACATCCATTTTGGGGCAAACTGATGACTTCAAGTAGCTTTCCCTGATCTTCAGTCACATTTCAGAAGACCATAAGTCAAGCCGAAGCCTAACCCAAAACCTTAAAAAATGTGGGATTACATTTAGTCACGTCAGCTTATAGGCCATGAGTATTTGTCGAGATTGCCTAATTGATGTTGACTGGTTAATCATGGCACATTCAAATTAATTTGTTTTCAGACAGAAACACAGGTCGAAGTAGTGAAAAAAAGGTATTTGTTTCCTTTAAGATTTGTTCTGGTTCAGTTTTCTTTTCCCTCCACACATAAATGTCTAGCCCGAACCAACCTAGCTCTGCGTGAAAATTAGTGATTTAACAGTGATCAGCCATGTTTTTCTTTTATTAACCATTCACCCTCAGTGGAAGTAGACCAAAATACCTCAAAGAAAACCCACACAGCTTAGAATAAAGTCACAGACTTCAAAATTACTTCAAGAGCGTGCCAGTGGCTCATCCAGGAGGTCATGGAAGAACCTGGAACAACGTCTAAAGCTCTGCAGACTTCACTTGAAGTTGTGTTTTCTGATGTCATATTCTGTTATAGTTCCCCTCTGTGTAAAGGGGATGTCATGTAGCCTTGGGTTTTTAGAAAATACAAATAAAAAAAATCACAGAGGAAAGCATTACTGATTAAACTTTCACTTCAATAACATAAAGCTACATAATTTTTCAAGTTTAACCAGTAATACTTTCATAACAAACTCTTGGTTAATGTCAAGTTGTCATAACAAAGACATTTTGAATAATGTCAACTTTGTGTTAAAAGTGTCTTGATTTACCCAATGACACTTTGTGACAACAGTCATGAATATTCATGCAGACTTACTCATGTTCATGACGGCTGTTATTACATGTTTATGACAGTCTTATTCACAACCCATCAAATAAAGTGTTACCAGAATTATACTGAACAAACTCAACCACAGAGAAAACATCTGGAGAAAATACAATAAAACACATTATGAATTTTGTCATGTTGTTCTGCTTCCTGATTTAATATTTTATTATTATCTATACACATTGTTTTTATGCTTACCATTTTTGTTGTTTTTCGATGCTTTCATTGCTTTTGATGTTGTGAACATCAAAGCCACTTTGACTAAAATTGTTTACAAAAAAAACAAAAAACTTACCTGCTAACACCAGACTGTGACAACTAACTGAATGTGAATACTGTACATTAAGTTTCCTATTTGTATACATTAAAATGTCTCAAAACGAGTTTTTGTTTGTCCTGCTGTTTCTTCGGTTCGGCTTTGAGACTCGATATATTTATGTCTTGTTACTTCTCAACTCGTGACACATGACAAGTCCGAGTGAGCAACGCTCTGCGAAAACGGGTTTTTAAAGAGAGACTCTTGTTGTCAGTAATTGTGTTGTGCAGTCTAAGAGGTCTACAGTTCATACGCATCCTTCGCCTCAAAGTACTTTGGTTCAAGATGTGCTTTCAGAACCGCTTGCAGAATAAGATAGATTGGTTCTATTGAAAATGTGTTTCACGCAATCAAGAAAAAAAGTCGTCTTTGCCTTGCACAAAGACCAAATGTTGTATTGATTCTGAGTCAAATGCATGTCGATATTTTTTTTTTTTCCAAAGGGCTGCTATTTCAGAATTTTATCATTAAACACTGCAGGACCCGAGCATGATGTCTGATGTATGGACACCGCCGTGGCTTGTTTGTGCAGACTGTCAATTCAATAGTATGTGAGGAAAGTTTCTATTAACAAGAACATTTACATCATATTCTGTCAATTTAAAAAAAAAAAAAAAGATTCAAAGGTTTCTAAACGTTGATGTCAGATTATTTCTACTAAGGAGTGCAACATTTTTCCACACCAAGTTTTCTTATGGATGCTCTATATTTGCCAAGACCAAAACCCCACAAAACGCTACACACAAAAAGGCGTGACAGTCTCAAAACCCATCTGAACATCTCTCTATCACGGCTCGCATGCATTCGCATCCTCTGGCACAATGGATGCAAACTCATCATGAAGGATATCCACATCCATGAAGGATATGGATTTCTTCTGTGTCCAATAATATTATTCTCATTCTATGTTATTGCATGTCCCGACTGAGCCCAATGGTTGTCATGGGCACAATGGATTCGACTAACGCTGATCACACAGAGTGGGTGGACAGAACGACACAGCCAGAGAAGAGAAAAAAAAACTGAAAAGTACAACGATGCTGCAGTTAAAATATTGTTGAGTTCTTTTTTCCATGATTTTCCTTTCTCTTCTCCTTTATCAGGCAGAAAGAGCGGTAGAAAAAAAATCACATCACGACAGAGAGCAGTGTGAGAATTAGCATTTTCACACATGCTAAAAGCATTTTGGTTAAGTAGCACAGAGCATAATTAACCTTTTCCGAAATCAAGAGGCACTTTGTCATAAAACCTGCATGCAGAGTGTGCACAAGCCATGTTGAAAGCACATTGTAAAGCCCTCAAAACCCAATGCATTTGATAAGATTGAAGAGGTGTCTTTTTTTTTTCTTTTTTTTCTTTTTTGGTCAAGGACAGCTTTGAAGTTCACAGTGTCGCTTCTCTGAATGCACTTTTAAGGAGCACGTGTAAAGATGCCGAACGTTTTAGCATCACGATATACTCTGCGAAAGCCTTTATCGCCGCGGGAGTTTTCCGTCTATTCGAATTTGATTTCTTTTTCTTTTTTACATCCAAGGCAGCCCGTGATCCCATCAATCACCATGCACAGAGAGGATGCAACAAAGCAGGGAGAGTTCACGGTTCACATACAGATGCTGCTCTCCTTTTCTCTCTCTTTTTTTCTTCTCCCCTCTGGTTTCTTTCAAGCATCGGCACTCGTTTTTCTATGAACTTGGCGCGGCGCGAGAGAATGAATTCCTGTATGAGGTCAAAAGTGAGCAATCTCGGACTGAATTATTGATGCGGTTCGGCCTGGTCTCAACAACGGATTTTCTTTGGAGATGAGTTTGTACAAAATTTCTTTCATGTTTGTCGCTGCTGTGGGAACATTGGACTTTTTCTTTCGGAGAGACTTTGATGTTCAGTTGCAAGGCGCTTCGTCGGCCATTGCAATTTTTACTTTGTTTTGTTTTTCAAATCAAATCCTATTTATCTTTAATTAAAAACATCAACTATTGAAAGGCTGTGTGCACTTCTTTTTGTGTCCACATGAGATTAAATATGTATTTTTAAAGCAGCAGTATTTGATTGCACACTTCTCAGAGGGAAAAGCCAGTTTAGCTTGAATGGCGAACACTAAGCAAGGATATTTTCATTCATGGCATGAATGAACAGCGTCTCTCACCCTGGATAATAGAAAACGAGAAAAATCAATTCAGATCACTGCTACATTTTTTAAACCAACACTACATCTGTCAAAATGACAACAGAAATAAACAAAAGATAAAAAAAACAAATAAATAAAACTCAAAAATAAGAGAACAAAAGCCCACCCCATCAGAAAACCTATAGGATCATGATTCAGCAGAAAGAAACATATTGATGAATTGCACCAAAGCCAAAGTGTCTCGTTTGATATATATACAAAGAGCTTTCCTCTCCATCACTCACGCTTTCGCTTCAAATGAGCACTCTTCTGTGTGAACACAAAAAATAAAAATGAAGAGGGCTTAACAAGAAAACAGATGAAGTATCCGTCTGAATTCTCAACATTTAGCCAAAGTCTCTGTTTCAATACTGATTTTCTGGAGGGGTTTTTTGCAAACAAAATTCTTGACCAAACTGCTTCAGCAAGACTCTGTTGATGTTGCAGTTTTGGCCGACATGTCCTGCTAGGAGTTTACATGCAACTGGAATCAGCATGCATGCTGAATTCATGGTAACTGCTTTTCCAGTTTAAAACTGAAAAAGCAAACAATTTTAGTCACTTTTCAAAGCAGTAATTGGGTGAAGCCTACCACACAAGTTCAAAGTTATACATGCAAAGGAACATCCTCATCCTTATTTGGCTAAAGCTGCATTGTGTAACTTATTTTGTCTTTATGTCGCAACAGCATAATATGAAACAAAAAATTTGGGTCGGGGGGCCAAGCTCCTCTGCCCTCCCCTGTAGTCCTGTCGACATCCGCAGCACATTGGCTGAGTCTGCTTAATCAGATACAACCAATCAGAGAATGAAGGAGGATCTTAGCGCATGTCAATCAACTCTAGTACATGCTGCTCAGACCCTACTGCTTGATCTTCCCTATGGTAGAGCCAGATTACCACAACGGAGGCTGCCATGAATGATCAGGCTTGTTACCAGGTTTAGTAGGTTGTTTCTCCAGCAGTAGCACGTCGAGTAACGCATACACAAGAGTGACTGACAGCACTACCTCTATTTGGCTGCTTTCGACCGGGAGAAGCACATTTTGACAGACGGCAAAAATAGCACTGGGAGGATGTGGAGGAGCTCAGTCTTTACACAGATCATCTGTCTCATATTGCTAAGACGTAGCTTTTTAAATACTGAACAAATAGCATAAAAGCATAACTTTTGACTGCTGGGAATTCCCCCGTCCCTCTGCTCTGCTTGGTTTAAGCGGGTAAACAAAATGGATGAATGGTTTAATTGCAGAGTAGGAATGAGGTTCAAGCAGGCCGAGTTGAGGGATGAAGGAAGTGGACACGGTGGATGAGAGTACGAATGAGTAAGTTTCTGGGTAGAGAGGAGTGAGGTAGGAATTAAGAAGAAAGGAGGTAAGGGTGACGGAATGGATAGAGATGAGGGTTGATGGATAGGGATGAGCAATAGGGTAGGAATGAGGAATGACAGATAAGAGGTAGGAGAGATAAGGGAGGGTCAAAGGATGAGCACTGGGGAATGAGGGAGGATGGAGTTGAATGAATGTGATATACAGTGCTGAGCATAAACAGACTGCTGGGTAATTAGGTAAGTGCTTATGGTTTAAATCTGTTTCCAAAAATGAGGTAACCTAGTAATTATTTTAACCTTTAGTTCCTCTTTGTGATGAATGTGTTGCATCTGATCCTGAACCATAGATTCCTTGTGATAGCCATTGGAATGCAGAACCTAAGGTGAATGGAGATGCTTGCGAATTGCGGCACTGACATGCTACGTATTTTAAATTCCTCACGAACACGCGCACGTAATCGCTGAGTGCAGCTCCGTGCATGCATGCCGAACACTGCTCAGAAGTCTGACCGCATTTGCGGATATGCAAATGTATCCTCCCACCACTCACAGGACAAAGTCCCTGTATATCTCTGAACTGGAGTTCGCACTCTGTGGGTGATCCAAACGTTTCTGTGCAGAGCTGAGAGCAGGTGGAAAAGCACAGAGCAGCAGCAGCGTTGCCACCTGGATGTTTTCTCGCTTTCTCTTTTTAGGGGGGGAGAAAAAAACGAAAAAAATTCGTGCGAAAATAAGACACTGCTGCCTGCCAATTTCAAATGATGCAACAGAAATCTATAAGTTTATTTGAAAGGAAGCGCTTCTGGGGCGCAAAGATCTCCCGAAATGGACCGCTGGGTCTGATAAAGTAAATAAAATAAATAAATTTAATAAATGAGATTTGGCAGAGGGAAGCGAAGGCCTGCTTGAGAGACATTGGCATTGAAGTAGGCCGACAACTTCAGAGTGTGTTTGTGTGCCATCAGCAGTTAGACCGACGCTGAGCTGTGAAAGATCACACGTTATTTATCTCATGTTGCACTACCTCCTTTGTAGCTCAGCTGTGACACGGGGAGAGGCGGGCTCACTGAAAAGTTTGCTACAGTATGTGTTGACACATTTCATTGCCACCTGGGAACACTTAGAGCTGTCCACTTCTGATTATACCGCGAAAGGCGTAATAATGCCATGTAAGACTCTACAGCGGCCTCACAGCGTGAGAGCAGCTGAAAAGTCAAGCACTGAATAGACGGAAGAGCTTTGATCATAGTTGTGTGCAGAGACAAACAGACAACCATGGACACAAACAGGAAAAAAGGTAAACATCCAGAACTTCAAGGTGGCTGCATGGTGCAGTACAGGAAGGACTTTGGTGTGCAAACCCTGGATTTGCGGGTTCTCACAGTGCAGGCATTTTCTGGTAAGCTTCATAGCATCGCACTGGCACACTACATATCTCACAGGCAAACTTCAGCGAGTGGGTAATATTTAAAACTTCAACATCAACAGAGTCCACACCTCCAGAAGGCAAAGTGTAGCATGAGGGGCTAGTTCTTACCAGGCTGGCTATTAGCATGTTAGCATTTTTCTTTTTG